CTTCTCCGAGTTCTACATCGGACACTTGGGATCAGGAATCAGGTTGGAAATGAGAGACAAGAAAGATGGGCTGGTAGTCTGGAGGGCCTTGTTGAAAACAGGTAAGTCTAGGGCAAATCCAGGGAGTTCAGAGGGGTTACAGAAATAAAATAAAGAGATAAAGTTAATAAAAGGGTGTGTGTACATATGTGTGGGTTCACACATATGTGTGTAGGTGTGTATGTCAGGGAGAGAGTTTATATTATCACAATTCACTAATAAGACAAACCCCAAAGAAGTTAAGGTGCCTTTTCAAGTAAGCCACAGCTGGTATGACTGTAATTTAAACTCAACTCAACTGGACTCCAAGATCCATGCTCTTTACCATGCACTATGCGATCTCCACACTGCCCTGGAATTAACAGACGGCCTTCCACAAGGCCATGGGGAAAGTTTCCCATAATAGCTTGAATGTGAAGTGGAAGGGTCTGAACTAGATGGCTACAGGGTTGTGTGTGGGTGAGGGCATTTTCACCTGGATCACTCAGAGACCTGTGGGGTTAAAGGGAAGAGGGAACCCCACAAAACATCACAGGTTCGGTAGGCGCAATTGTACAGCGATAATAAGTAGAGATTATAGTAAAGTCATAAAGAGCATGAGAGTTAAAGGACAGAGTCAAGTAATGGAGTCAGATGCAATTCATGGTAGCATCACTCACCTCAGCCCCGCTTGATGGTCCTCGTGGAGGGGGCTTAGTCGTCAGAGAAGAAGCCGCTGCCTCGTCCTCCTAAGCCACCTTCTCCAGCCACCCTCCCGAGAACCAGGGAGCCTCCTTATTTATTGCTAACCACGCATCATATCACTTTAGGAGGATCTGATTACAGAGTCATACATCACAGGAAGGGGCAATACAATTCATTCTTGAACAAGTTTGATCATTCTGGTGTCTCATACAATAAAACAGACAACTACTATTCTGCGAGGCATGCAAGTCCCCTGACAGCAGACAACAACCTAAGTCACAGGGAGGGGTAGCGACATAGGCAATACAATCAATAGGAGGGGGATGACCTAGGGGTGTGCCCACATTTGTTGTGGGATAAACAGTGGTGTCTGCTTGATCTAGACAGCTGATAATGGTAACCTAACCTTGGTCATCCTTGGGTGGGTTTGACCTCTCTGGTATCTCCTGCAAGTAAACAGACAACTGCTATCCTTATCAGACTCACCTACTTAGGGTGAGTCAGACTATACAGTCTAGATGGCTGATGTCAGGGAGAATAACCTCTGACCTACTTTCGCTGACCGCCTAGTGAATAGTCATTCGCAAGCTAAATCTGGCATATATTTTGGGGAGACAACTTAAGAGAAATCCTTCTGTTCCCCACAAAGACCCAAAGCAAATGATAGGGAATCCAACAAGAATGAAGGAAACCGTATGGCCTCTGCGCAAGACCCAAATGCCCAAAACATACCTTTCAGGGCAGCCAACCCTCTTCAGCTAATGGAATATGGCTGGGCTGCCCGCTAAGCTGCGACAAACAGGACTCTCACCAGGTGGGTGAGGTTCACTCCATTGGAGTGCAGCCACAGGGAGAGAACTGGCCAAGCCTCCGCATCAGACTTGATGTGAATCCAACTCTGACAGTTACTTGTCTGACCTTGGGAAATGTTCATATCTCAGCTGAGTCTTGGATTCCTCATATATTAAATAGATCATAGCACCTACATTGCAGGATTATAACAAAGACTAAATATAACAGTGTGTATACATGCCTCACGCCAATGACCCTTGGTAAATAGTAGCAATATTATTCTCTGTCCTCATAATAGGTCAGTAGTGCCTTCCTACCAGCCTTCATTCTATCTCTTGGAGCTCACAAATGTCTCACACCTTCCCCGTGAGAAAATCCTTCAGGTACTTGAAGACTGAAGCCGTGGCAATAAGTTGAACACTTGCAACTCCTTCCATCATTCCTCTCTAACTTTGTTCCTTGTTTTCAATTGCCTTTTTCCATCCTTACCATCCCAGTCACTTTCCTCAGTGGATGCACCAATGTGTGGATGGAGTCAAAATCGACTGCAAGACAGTCCAATGAGCAAGAAGATGTGGGGCACGCTGCTCCCGTCATCCAAACGAACCCAATGCTCACAGTCATGCAACCTGATCTCCCATCTTTTGTGTCTGCTTTGCCACACCATAAGGTCACCTTGAACTTCAAGTCTACCCAAACTCTAAGGCCTTGTTCACATGAGCTATTGTGAACAACTCCTTCCTCTCTTTATATAAGTAATTATTTAAGCCCCTTCCATTTTTCCCCTATGAAAATTTGTTCCATTACTGCCATGTGCTAAGATTTGCCCCATCATAATCTGACATTAAATTCAGGATAAACAGACTTGGTTTAATGGAGTCTAGAAAACCATACAAGGACAAGAAAGTTGATTTCTGCTCAAATCAAACCAAACTCATTGCCATCAAATAGATGCTGACATATGAGAGACTGCAGGACAGGGTAGAACCACTCCTGTCAGTTTCTAAGACTGTAACTTTTGTTTTTCTTTTCGAGACTATACCTTTGTATGGGAATATAAAACCCCATCTTTCTCCCTAGGAGTGGCTGGTGACTTTGAACTGCAGACCTTGTGGTTTCTTAGATCAAGGAGATATAAAACAGTTTTAGCTATCTAGCAAGAGGCTTAGTTAATTCAGCAAGGATTGAGCCAAGACTGGAGAAAACCATGCCTAAGGTTTTGCAGTTCTCATTGGGATAGATGCCCTCTCTCTATAATTAGTCTATGAGTAGGACTTCTGAGCCTCAATTTCCCTCTATGAATAAGGAAAAGATTCACCTCGATCTCTAAGTCTTGGAGTCTAAGGGCTCTTTGCAGCCTCCCAGGTCTTATGTGAATCTGTTTTTAGCTTGTTCACAGAATCAAACCATCTCAGTGGTGGATGGGAGTTTTGAGATGCATTGTGTGTATGTTAATGACTGATGCTGTTGCTGATGTCTTCATCTTCATTTCTGTCTTCCTCTAGGAGACCTCAGACCTGCAGCCAGCCTGGACCTTCCAGAGCAAGTAGGTTAGTACAGCCATTAGAGACAACAAGAGCCAGTGGCAGCTCTGAGGTGTCTGCTCATAAAAGAAAGGAAAGCGAAAAAGGAGCAGATTCACTTGCTACAAAACTCACAAGGGATCAAGTGGATGTGTGTCTAGGGCAGCAGTTCTCAACCTGTGGGTCACGACCCCTTTGGGTGTCAAACAACCCTTTCTTTCACAGGGGTCGCCCGATTCATAACAGCAGCAAAATGACAGTGATGAAGTAGCAATGAAAATAATTTTATGGTTGGGGGCTCACCACAACATGAAGAACTGTATTAAAGGGTCGTGGCATGAGGAAGGTTGAGAACCACTGGTCTAAGGTCTCTCCCTGTCTTTCCCTATTCCCCACCCACGTAGGCCTTGACACCTCCCCTTAAACAGTCTCTAATGTCCCTATCAAAACTCCCCCTCTATCCTCCTCCCTTAATCCCAATCCCCAACTTGTGCAGAAGGCTAGCCTGGATATTAATGGGAGAGAATGTGAGGGTGCCTTTCTGATATCAAACAGCCTTGAATGGGGTGAGGGAGGGCACATATGCAGATGAGGTGAGTAAGGGTCACTGGGAGAGGGAGCAGAATTCGATGCCAACATGGTATCCTTTCTTTTTTTGTTGCCAGCCTTACCTCCAATCCCAGACATCACAGACCCCCTGCATTTTGTGGATCGGTATCGGGAGCAGCTGATAGCCCGGGTGACATCAGTGGACCCTGTCCTAGACAAGCTGCACGGACATATGCTGAGCGAGGAGCAGTACGAGAGTGTGCGCGCTGAGGCCACCAAGCAAGACCAGATGCGGAAGCTGTTCAGCTTCAGCCGATCTTGGAACTCGGCCTGCAAAGATCGACTCTACCAAGCCCTGAAGAAGATCCATCCTTACCTGATAGTGGATCTGTGGGAGGAGTGGGGCACCAGAGTGCATCAAGGGGCTCCTGACAACCTTGGCGTCTGACATCTGTGCATCTGGCTGTGCCTCGCCCTCTCTGGGTCTCAGTTTCTGGGTCTAGAAACAAGTTGCCCTCCAAGAGGCCTTCCAGCACCAGGGCTGGATCTGTGATGATGCCTCTGCTGGGCATTCTATGCCTACCTCACTGTGTTATAAGAGCCTCTGTCTATGGCTTGCAGAGGCCAGTAATGTAAGTAGGGTACCAGCATCTCAGGCGAAGTTCACCTGGAGCTGGCAAAAGTTCTTCAGATCTTGTAGATGCTTAATCCAATTGTCTGGTCTGGTGACCACAGCAGCCAAGCCTAGGCCATCCCTGTCCCATCCAGTTGCAAGGAAGAGTAGTGGAGACATAGGACTGGCTAACTAGACTGGAGAGAGACAGTGGATGCGTATCCTTTGGATACTGGAAGGGCTTGAGATCTCCTTTCCAGTTCCTTGTGTTGGACTTGGCTTTTTGGTTGGCTCCAAGGTGTGCTCTGTTTGAAGATCCAGAGTTTCTGCCTCCAAGTCCGGTTCTTTCAGCGTGCGATCTGGTTCCTTCCTCTTCCAAACCCTACATGGCCACTCTGGAGGATCAGCTGATTCGGAATCTTCTTAAGGAAGGATAGTTCCCCCCACCCCCAAAAAAAGATGACTGCAAAGTTCAGGTTGGTGCTGTTGACATGGCCTGTGCCATGCATACCTTAATGAAGGACTTAGCAGATGAGGTCACTCTTGTTGACATCACTGAAGACAAACTGAAGGTAGAGAGGATGGATCTCCAACTCAGCAGCCTGCTCCTTAGAACACCATAAATGGTCTCTGGCAAAGACTGGAATGTAACTGTGATTCCAAGTTGGTTATTATCACAGCCAGGGCGTGTCCGCAGGAGGGAGAAAGCCATGCTAACTTGATCCAGCGCAGTCCAAGCAGCAAGCCACTTGTTGTTTCTCATCCAGTGGAAATCCTCACCTATGTGGTTTTCCTGAGAACTGTGCTATTGGAAGTTGTTGTAATCTGGATTCAGCAACGTTGCATTATGTAAAGGGGGAGAGGCCAGGAGTACCAGTTAAGCTGTCATGGATGGATCCTTGGAGGGCGTGGTCAATCTAGTGTGCTGGTTTGGAGTGGAATAAATATTGTTGGTGCCTCCCTGAGAAACTTGCACCTTGATGGAGGCCCCAGTGGAGACAAAGGAACAGGGGGTCAACAGTGCTTATTAGGCGATCAAAGTGAAAGGATGTAGATCCCGGGCCTTTGGACTATCTATGACAGATGGCAGAAACTTGAATGAAGAATCTGAGGTGAGTATATCCAAGTTCCACCATGATGAAGGGTCTAATTAATCATGATGTCTTCCTCAGTGTCCCGTCCATATGGGGACAGAAAGGAGTCTCAGACATTGTGATGGGGACCCTGACTCCTGGGGAAGATTGAAGGAAAGTGCAGGTACCCTTTATGGGATCCCAGAAGAGCTGTGATTATAAAGTCTTCTCTTGTACTTCTTCACGGTGTAGGCTACAAATGGATGTTAGCTGGAGGTTATGCATGTTGTTCTTGGATCTGATCTCTGATTAAAGCAATAAAATTATGACCTTAAAAACAAAAAAAACATCGGTTTCCTAAAATCAGACGTGGGAATGACCCATAAAGCTTTACAGCTCTATCCTGACGGTGGAGAATACTTATCATACATAGTTCTAAATTGGTTAGCATAACATCGTTCCACCACCTTAGAGGCACCACTGCCAATGTGTGTTTACTGTGTGTTATGTAACTTCTGGTACCTTCACTCAACATGCCAAGTCCAACTTTTTGCCCCAATGTGTAAATCCAATATTGACTGTCTTGTGCATAATTGTCCCGGTAGGTTTTATGTTGCGTGTGATCCATATCAGAGTCGTATACATCACCATGCAATGTAAAAAGATCTACAGGTAAGCAACTATCTGTTACTCTAACAATACCAGATAAACCATGAACCATGAAAAAAAATGTGTGCTCTGCTTCTATGAAGTCTAGATGAAGTAATAGTGCCAGCAGTGTTTGGGCCAGTCTGGACCAGGCAGCCCGTACCTCCTCTCCAGCCCCTCTGGAAGATGAATGGCCTGCTGAGCTTCAAAGCCCCCTCCCCCAGAATTCCAGGGAAGGAGTTTGGCTTCTCATGGATTACATCCTGACTCAAGACCCTGCAGCAGCAGCAATAAAAACCTCTCTTTTATTAGCACGTCCCTCTCGACTGGAGCCCTGTATATATCCCACCGGCACGACTTCCCTAACCTAACTCGTTAGGCTGTGGAATCTGTCCGGGAGTTTTTGCTTGCCTCCATAAAGCCTTTCTCTATTTCTCATTCCTGACTGAGCTCTGTCTCCTTTCTGCACCTCCGTCTCCACCTCTCAAGTAGAAGGCTGAAAAAGAAAGCAGCAGGAGGAAGGGAGACTAGGTCTTAGCTGAGATAGCTCCTCCTGTAGAAGATCATTCCATGTCTTTGCACATGGCTAAGGTATCACTGTCCTATGGTCTCATGGAAGCCCGTGTGCCCTATCAGAGCTCTTAGCAATGTGTTGTCCCCACTATTCATAGCATCTCTTCCTCCACAATTTAGTAAGCTTCCTGAAGACAGAAACCATGTTGAACCTCCTCACCAGATTCCCCCCAGTGCACAGTATAGTGATGGGAGGGGATTCTGGAAAGATACCCAACAGTGGTGATGTCTGGTTCCAGGTAGAAGATGTGAGATCATCAGGTCTTTGCACCTGAGACTCTGGCTCTGCCTGTCCCAGGACATGGAAACTGCATCACGAGCTTGTTGAGTTGAATATATTCCAAACCAGTGGCCTGTGTCAGCAATGGTCGGCTACATGTGGGAGGTGAATGACTTGCAACTGAATTTAATGTCCTCAGCCATCTTAAAATATATATGTATGTGTATATGTGTGTATACATATATATATATTGCCATGTTTATTTTAGACCTTATTTTTACTTCAAATGTGTAAAAGTCCCTCAAAAACAAGAGAAAGTATAAATATAATTTATAGAGACACATTCATTGAGTTTTAAACAGGACAAAGATAAACAATCTAATGAGGAAGACAGTCAACATGAGGCCATCTTGGTGCATTAGAATACTAAATGATAGAGAATCAGACACAGGAGAAACAAGATGAGAGACTCAATGGTGAGAGACAGGTTTATTGGCCGAAACCTGAGGGGGCCAAAGACCTGAATCAAAAGGCTCTCTCTGTACAGGCTAACAGTGTTTTATAGGATTCATCAAGGAGGTATTTTTGTGGACAGGAAAGTGTGATTTGGGCTAATTCCAGGATCCAGGGTCATCTATGGGCAAGTGAAGAATTACTGAATGAGATGTGTCTGTGGGCAGGGGTTTTCTAATGAGATATTGTCCTTCATGGTGGCCAAGAGCTAACAGAAATTTAAACAGGACATGGAACACAAAGGAAACTGTCACAAAACCAGAATTGCCAGCAGATGTATTTATCACAGTAAGTGGGGGCATGGGGGGGAGGGTGTGGAATTAGAACAGTGGGAAAGGGACCATGGTTGGGGTACATTCACAATTGCAGATTAGAAGAGTTTACAAGATTGGGTCAGGATCCTCCAGCCAAGAATATCAGGGTTTGACCCATGACCCTGCACCCCTAGTACCTAATTTCCATCCAGGCAAATGCATGGGAGGGAGGCTACCCCTCCCTGGGCTGCCTAGAGCAGTGGTCCTCATCCACTTTCAAATTCATTCTTCCTGAGGACAATTACCTAAGGGCACTGCAGGGGAGGTTGGGGGAAATGGAGGAGCTAACAACAATGAGTACAAGAAGAATATGTTCTGAATGTGAGTGTGGTTTTATGATTAGACAACTCTTCTTAATATAATTGAATGTTAAATTGTATGGCATGTGATGTATATGCCAATAAAACTATTTTAATAAAAAGCAAATGCAGAGAAGACCACATGGCTGGACCTACTATGAGACACGACATCCCTCACTGACCTATAACCCTACAGGGGACAACACTGGAGACACAGTGTAGGAATTGTGCCCGACCTGATCCCACCACACCAAGGCAAAACACTAAGGGCGTACAATAGAACAGCAAGGGGAACAGAGCAACGAAGTCCCCAGGGAACACCAAAAATAGACTTTGGGGTCAGGGCTTGGTGCCCCAACAGAATCAACTGGAATACACTCCTAAAGGCCAACAAACAGTCCTTGAACTAACTACAAGCTTTTCTTTCTTGTTGTATTTTGTTTTGTTTTTTGTCATTGCCTTGTTGTTGTTGTTGTTTTGCTTTGTTTTGTTGCTTGGTTTTGCTCTGTCTTGTTTTTGTGCATGTTATTATCTCCACAAGTCTGTCTAAATAAAATAGGCTGAATAAACAATCTGGAGGAGAAAACAAGGGGACCGACAGTTCCAGGGGGACATGGGAGAGGGGGAGGGGGTGGAAAGGAAGTGGTGTTAACAAACCCAGGGACAAGGGAACAACAAGTGATCCAAATCGTGGTGAGGGGGGTGTAGGAGGCCTGGTAGGGCGTGACCAAGGGTAATGTAACCCAGAGGAATTACTGAAACCCAAATAAAGGCTGAGCATGATAGTGGGACAAGAGGAAAGTCAAGAGAAATAGAGGAAAGAGCTAGGAGGTAAAGGGCATTTATAGAGGTCTAAATAAAGGCATGTATATATGTAAATATATTTATATATGATGATGGGTAAATAGATCTATGTGAGTATAGGTTTAGTATTGAGGTAGCAGAAGAATCGCTGAAGACAAAGCGAGTGAATAAGCAAATGTGGTGAAAAAAGCTGATGGTGCCCGGCTATCAAAGATATAGCATCTGGGGTCTTAAGGGCTTGAAGGTAAACAAACGGCCATCCAGCTCAGAAGCAACAAAGCCCACATGGAAGAAGCACACCAGCCTGTGTGACCAGGAGGTGATGAAGGGATCAGTTATCAGGCATCAAAGAACAAAAAAATCATATAATTGTGTGCTCACCTCCCTGATA